TATATATATAAATATGATTAACTAAGTAAACATGATAATAATGATTCGCCTACACATATTATATCTGTGATCAACAACTTTTTTGACGGACTCTGTCTATATAATTCTTTAGTCAGAGTCAACGTATTCAAATATTTTTTCAGAATTTCCAACCAACTATTTTAAATATTAGTTCTACACAATATTTAAGACTATAGAAGCGTATAACTCGGCGATAATTGAATTAAATAAAAAAAAGTTATTTAGGCACACAAATAATTTTAAAAACCACATCAAGCGACATTAATCCACAATTTTATGTTCATTCAAGTTTGGAATTCATTTTCATTTGGAATCACAAATAGACTGAATAAGTATTACAATTTCATTTATATTTATTTTTACTTAAAGGGCAATAATGCTAAAGCACACTTCTGTGTGTCCTTCTGGACGTTACATCAAAAGCCTGCGGGAAGAAAAAGACATGAAGAAACACAGATTCGCGCGCTTGCACGTTTTTTTGATTGGTGAGTGCTGCCGCTGCCTGGAGTAGTTTATCTAGATATTTTAACTATCATTAAATTAATACTTTCTTAGATTTACGCGAATATTTGACATTTTAAATAAAACTATCACTGGAGAGTCTCTCCCGTGACCATGGATGCTGTAAAGCATTCGAAACGTCGGGAAACAAAAATCCAAATAAATCCGCGACAAAATCCGAAAAGATAGTTTTATTTAAAATATCATTGAATTAATTATTTAATAATTAGACTATACAACGATAGAGTAATAAAAAAAACTGGATTTTTTTAATAATAAATTCACTTAGTACTTTGTATAATATGCATCAAAATCATACAAAAACATTAATAGAGATCTATTAGTTCCCACGGGAACCGTTCATTTTTAAGGGATGAAAAGTAACCTGTTGTTCGACCGACAATATAAGGTATCAGAATGTTAAATTTTACTAAATTAGGTAAATAAGTTGTTGTGTACTAAACTGTATCAGTTACTATAGTTTTTTAACTATCCCACGGGAACTCTTTAATTTTCTGAGATGAAAAGTATCTAAAATGTTGACCGGGGATATAAGGTACTACCATGCAAAATTTCATTTAAATCGGCCCAGCAGTTTCGGAGATTACCCCGTACAAATATACAAACAGACAAACTGACAAACAGACATACAGCCAAACAGACAAACAGACAAAATGTGTAGTAACTATTGTTTTGGGGTCTATATTGTGCACATAATACGTTACAAACAAACAAAAACAGATCTATCCCACGGAAACCGTTCATTTTTCCGGGATGAAAAGTAACCTGATGTTTGTCCTCTGAGTGTTGAGAGTACTTTCGCTACTAGTTGGGCCAATTTATAAGTCGGTGTGTCTATTTGACTCACAATTGGACGTAGCAGAGCGTTAGGTTTGTGTATCTTTGGAAGTCCATACAGTTTAGGCGGCTTTGCACAAGATGGAACAAGATTTTTGACATCAAGATTCAATGCATCGGAGTGTTTCTTAATCAGCTTTTTAGTATTATTTAACACAGTTGTTGTTGGGTCTGTTTTGACCTTTTTATAAGTAGTTTCATCCGACAACAGTTATTTAATTTTGCCATTGTAATCTGATGTATCCATCACGACGGTAGCATTTCCCTTATCTGCGCGTAGGATGGTGATATCCGACCTGCTGCGTAAGTTCTTCAACGCTAAATTCTGTTGTTTATTGAGATTAGGTTTGGGCTTAGAACTTCTACGTAACAAAGATGAAACATCTTGACGTATGGCCTCCATGTCCTCAGTTTTCATAGTATTTTTGGCCAGGGCGTCTTCTACTGCACAGATAATGTTCTCGTAAGGGATGCGAGCCGGCGCTACAGCAATATTTAAGCCTTTACTTAGTACCTGAATAGTAGGTTCATCCAATGTTTCTTTTGACAGATTGACAACTGCTTGACGTACGCACGAATTTGAAGTTGTGGTAGACGGGCGCGTTCCGTTATTGTTTATGATTTTCTTTTTGGTGTTATATTTCTCAACTAGTTTTTGGTATTTTAATATATGTTTGTTTTTGCATTGGTTAAATTTAGATGTTTCGCGCTTATTTAGAGTTTCAATGCAATCATTAAAATCACTTGGGGTCAAAAAAAATTTTGTTCCACATACCGGTCGTTACTGCGTAGATCACGGCGGGTTTGACGAATCACCGTCCGTAACAACTTAAAACTTGCCTGGTTAACGATCTTAGCGCTTCCCCGTATGTTCTTTTTAAAAGATATTTTCACACACGTAGGAATGAGACGGTTATCCCGACATCTCTTCAAGAAAGTTAAAGATGTTAATAATCTTGCGCGCTTTGTCTTCAGATCTTCTAACCGGCGTATTTGGTTAGCGATTTCCAGTCCGTACTGGTTCACATAATACTTTCTTAGATTTACGCGAATACTTGACATTTTAAATAAAACTATTTTGTCGGATTTTTTCGCGAATTTATTTTGATTTTTGGTTCCCGCCGTTTCGAATGCTATTCAGGGAGTGCTACTTTCTTAAAATCACCTTCCCATTGCTTTAACTGTCTTCCTCTACTTCTGCTTTTTCTAGGATATAACTTTGGTCGATATCTCTTTGTTTTCTCTCAACATATGTCCTGCCCATTTTTTCCATACTGTTTGGACCTTTTGGAACTTAGTAATTCCTTTTATCCTTATTAACTGTAATCTATCTCTTCTTCTTACACCCAATACGCATCTTAGAGAGAAGCTTCTATTTGCTTTGTATAGGCTGGCATCGATTTTGAAAATATTTGATTAGGTATGTATTTAATAGGTAGGCTTTAATTACTTAGCCAAAGCACACCGACTTCGAAAATATTTGATTAGGTATGTATAGTAAATGAAAACTACCAATCAGTTATTTTTTACTTTTTAGTGCTTTTGTTTGTAGTCGGTTTTAATTTTTTTGTTAAAAAGTTTTTATTTTTCCTTTTTTAGTGTAGATAGTAGTAGCAAAGTAAAAATTCTAAAGTGTTAAGCTTATCAAATCAAACAAAATAAGCCCAAACTCAAAGTATCTACTATTAGTCCTTGAAGAGTTCCACCTATCCACCTTCTGACCTTACCATCAGACCAGGTCAACAATACCGAACCACTGTACTATCAATGGAAATAGAAACACTTGCAAAGTTTCCAGTCAATATGAAAATTAGAAGTAGGTTAAATTCATCATTAGCTATTTTTCCACCCTTAGGGGTGGTATTTTTTTTTTGAAATTTAAATGGGACCAATCTGGAAGTATACCCTTTCAAACAAAAGAAAAATTGTCCAAATCGGTTAATAAATTACGAAGTTCTGAGGTAACAAACAAAAAAAAATACAGTCGAATTGAGAACCTCCTCCTTCTTGAAGTCGGTTGAAAAATTGCAAGTCTCGCAACGCATTTTTTCTACCGCCAAAAGCTATGAGATATAATGTAAAACCAAGTCGGTTAATTTATTCATTACCTATCTATGGAAGCATCTATCCGACAACATTGTCATAAATAGTTACAGAATTAGTTAAGTTACAACATTTTATAGTGACTGTATTAATATTAGATATATCTATTTCTTTAATTAATAGAATGACTTGGCCATCGCACGGAAACATATTCACATAAGAGTATACTACTACATAAAAAGTCCTAATTAAACATACCATGACCAAGGTGGACGGACGATTTGGTCAAAGTCGCTGGAGCCCACTGGATGCGGATGGCACAAGACTGGTTGTCGTGGAAATTTTTGGGGGAGGCCTATGTCCAGCTGTGGACGTGTTTGGGCTGAGATGAACTGAACATAGCACTAGCGGGTCAAATTTATGCATACACTTACATAAATAATGCACTCAGAACGCTAATATTAGGTAAATTTTGTTATTTGTAGGTTCTATTATCATGTCTATCTGCAGCATCGTAGTTAAATCCCGAAAGTTGTATTCCATTCCATTTTAAGAGTAATTTTCGAAGAGATTGATATTTCATGACCTCTATATTCCATGTTCAGGTGGGTACAGTTACGAGCAATGAGATGTTGACAAGGTTTTCTAATTCATATCAACATCATACTTTGTAAAAGAAAATGTACGACCTTTGTTTCAAAATTAAGTAATCGTCAAGTTGTTTCTTAATTAGGTATATATTTTAATCAATTCATTAAAAAACTTTTTAACAAAAAAATAAAAAACTTTTTAACAAAAAAAATAAAAACCGACTTCAAACAAAAGCACTAAAAAGTAAAAAATAACTGATTGGTAGTTTTCATTTACTATACATACCTATTCAAATATTTTCGAAGTCGGTGTGCTTTGGCTAAGTAATTAAAGCCTAACTATTAAATACATACCTAATCAAATATTTTCGAAATCGGTGCCAGCCCATACAAAGCAAAGCACACCGACTTGAAATTTAAATGGGACCAATCTGGAAGTATACCCTTTCAAACAAAACAAAAATTGTCCAAATCGGTTAAAAAATGACAAAGTTCTGAGGTAACAAACATAAAAAAAAAATACAGACGAATTGAGAACCTCCTCCTTTTTGAAGTCGGTTGATAAATAACAGTAATCGAATATTAGTAAGTATAAACTATACACGCTTCACATTACATTTATGTACCCATTTGTATATGCATAAAAATTATACAGCCACTAAAAAAACTTAAAATATTATTTTGGCATTTAAAAAATACTTTTCTAATACATATGGTTGCAAATATAAACATTAATAAATAGACGAATCGAATTAGGTTAGTAATTACGAGGATCGGCCATACAAACATACTGTGGCATAATAAACGAGAAATCAAGAGGAATATTGGTTTTATTTAACTGAAAGAATTCCACTAGACAAATGTAATGACTAAATTAATATTAATAAATAACAAAGTATGACAGTTGACACGTTTGGTTTTAACAACACTACGGAGATCGTATACATGGCGCGGAGGTCGCATATCACCTCATTCTCCCCCGGTTCAGTTTTCACTCTCACTCCCATCAACCACAAAGTCCGCTAGGTAGGAGGGCAATTTTCGCGTCCTATTAAATCTCCTGGGGAGTCCAGTCCGAAGAACTGGCGAAGTCGTCGACGGCTCTCCTACACGAGGCGGTGACGAAGGAGCGATATTTTCAGGTGGAGGTGTGGAGTTATTTTCAGATGGAAACCTGAGATTATCATCTTCGGAGGCCATTTCAAAGTTATCGTCGCTGCTATTATCAGTGATACTGGGGAAAGGAGCTAATTGACGGTTTGATACCGTTGAGGTTTCTCCATTATCCCGTCTTATGAGAGAGTAGTAGGGATTGGTGTCTAAGAGCTCGGCTTCCTTGACAAGAGGGTCCGTGTTTGAAGAACGGACGTTCTTCTTAACTAAGATCGGTCCTGGCGTGAGCCAAGATGGCAGTGAATCTCCGTTCGGGGATCTTTTCGGGTATGTGAAAAGTTTTTCGTGCGGAGTAGCGTTTGTTGCCGTACACATGAGAGAGCGGACACAATGCAATGCGTCCTTCAGAGCCACTTCCCAATTTTCCACCGATAATCCCTTTGACCAAAGGCTGAGTTGAATAGTTCGCCAGAGCGTTCCGTTTAGTCGCTTCACTTGGCCATTACCCTGGGGGTTATAGGGCGTCGTTCTGGACGAGGCTATATTTGACTGTCGTAGAAATGATTTGAACTCTTCGGACATGAATGACGACCCTCTATCACTATGAATGTAGAGAGGTTGGCCAAATGAAACCGACTGTACTCATCAATAATTGTAAGAATATACTTGTTGGCTGTTTTAGATGGTAGTGGTCCTTTAAAATCTATGTTGATCCGTTCAAACGGCGACGTAGCTTTTATCAATTGACCCTTGACCTTTAGAAACCTCGGTTTTATTTCGGCGCAGGTAGGGCACGAGGCGGTCATCTCTTTCACATCATTAGCCGAGTAAGGCAAGTTTTTAGATCTTACCCAGTGATGATACATTCTAGTTACTCCCGGGTGGCAGAGTGCGTTATGTAGTTCTTTCAACTTGTTTATATTCATGTAAGCGCATACGCGAGATAGAGCGTCCGCAGCAGCGTTTTCAGTGCCTGGTCTATAAACTATATCGTATTTGAAGCAAGATAGTTCTAATCGCCAACGTTGGATCTTCTCATTTTTTATTTTACTGTTATGATTTTGATTGAACATGAAGACCACCGATTGTTGGTCAATTATACAACACAACACAACACAATCGAAAACACTCTTCCGTTCGTTTATAGTTAAATGATATTTATTAGCGGCGTCCATAAAGCGTTTTAAATTGTGGTCATGATCCCTTTGATCTTTGCCGCAGACGGTTACATCGTCTAAGTAGGCGAACGTTCCTTATAGTCTCTCTTCTGTTATGATGAAGTCCAGAGTACGTTGAAAAGCCGCAACGCCATTAGTCACGCCAAATGGAATGCGTGTAAACTGGTACAATTTGCCGCATGCTTCGAAAGCAGTATATATCTTTTCATTTTCTAAGATGGGTATTTGATGGTATGCGCTCTTTAAGTCGATTTGACTGAACACTTTGAATTTTGATACTTTGTTCACGACTGATTCTATGTTTGGCAAGGGGAAGGCATCCAGATCGGTGAATTTGTTTATGGTCATGGAGTAATTAATGACAAGTCGTTTTCGATGAACCACTCCTCCCGCTACGAGGACTTGGGCTCTCCAGGGGGAAATACTTGTTTCAAGGACCCCGTCTTCAAGTAATTTAGACACTTCTTCTTTTATGAAGTCCTCATCTTCCTTACTGTAGCGCCGGCTTCTCACGGCGATCGGTCGAATGTTCGGCGACAGATTTGTAAATACGGAGGCTGGCGGCACCGAAGCTCGTAACACGTTGCATATCTCTAAAGGCTCGCCAGGCCCACCAAGATTAAAATAAATGCTCGAGTGATGTTTGAGCAAGTCATGGCCGACGATGACGTCAGCACAGAGGTTGTCGACAACTAGAAGAGGCGTTTGTTTGTTAGTATGCTTATTCATCGTAATGGTAGCAAAGCAGATGCCTTCGGCAAAGGAAACTTGATTGAGAGAAGCGAGATTGACTGTCTGCTTGCAGGGTTTTTTGTGTAGTTTCATTATGCGAGCACCACTAGCGTTAATAAAGCTGACTGAACTTCCTGTATCGACGAGTGCATCAGCCTTGTATTCGTTGACCATGATTGGAATTGTCGCACTCCTAAGGCTCAAAGGAGAGGCAGCAGAAATAGCTCCACTGTAGAACTGGTTGTTGTTAGAGGTCGTAGGATCTTCAACTGTCGTGGAGTTTAAGTTAATATTGCCCGATCTACAGACGCTTGCAAAGTGTCCTTTCTTTGAGCATTTTTTGCAGGTGGCTTTGTTGGCTGGACATCTGAACCTTGGATGAAGACTCCCGCCGCAAAAGAAGCAGGGTTTAGCCGGAGGTGGCGTGGTCGGGGCGGCTTGAAAAGTTCGTGACGATGGAGCTGCCGCTAGATTTTCGGATTCCTTGTCCCGTGAAGTACCTTGCGATATGGCGGTAAGTTGCGTAGAACTGATACCAATAGCAACTGCATCCTTCTCTGCCGTTTCCAGAGCTACGGCTTGATTAAGTGCTTCTGAGAGAGTGAGTTTTGAGTTTTCTAGTAACCATTCGCGAATCCTTCGTGATAGTAAGCCGGATATGAGAGCACTACGAATTGCTTGGTCTTCATGCTCTTGAGCTATGACGTCTTCGAATTTACAATCTTTCGCGGAAAGTCGGAGAGCTCTAATAGAGTCAGAGATCGTTTCGTCGGCTCGTTGCTTGCGAATGAAGAGAATGTGTCGAGCTAGAATAGTATTTTTCGGTTTGACAATAATGTCTTCTAGAACTTTCATTGAATCTTTATAAGTGGAGCATGTTTTGATATGCTTGTATATCGATGCCGATAAGTGATTAACTAGCAGCTTACGCTTAATGGAGTCTGGTACATCGTCGGTAATCTCTTCTGCTAAGAAGCTTACAAATGTCGATTTCCAGTGTACCCATTTTTCATCGGCGTCCGCGACATCAGGCTCGATGTCAAACTTATCGGGTCGCAGATATCTCGACAGCGAAGGCATGCCTAGTTTTTCATTAGGCATTTTCAGTTAAATAAATTGTGGCATAATAAACGAGAAACCAAGAGGAATATTGGTTTTATTTAACTGAAAGAATTCCACTAGACAAATCTAATGACTAAATTAATTAATATTAATAAATAACAAAGTATGACAGTTGACACGTTTGGTTTTAACAACACTACGGAGATCGTATACATGGCGCGGAGGTCGCATATCACCTCACATACATACATACCTACAGGTAAAACACTACTATAACCTCCTTTTACAGTGCAACTATTATATAATTAATTAATTTACTATTAATTATAAATTTTATTAGAATATATAAATGAGGGCAAAAAAATAAACTTAAGATTTCGGGAAATGAAAAAATAATATTTAATTTAAATAATGGAAGGAAAAAATAGTGTAAATTTAACTAAAATATTTTATGATTTTTAAATGAAATTTATATTTGACCTTAATGACACAAATTAAGGCAAGCTATGATGAACTTCATTTATGTCAAAATATTTATATTATGTGCAATTTTATTGTGACCTATTATTTAAAAAAATACCTAAACCTTCTAGCGTTCCTTGACGTCGTTAAAGTAGAGGAATTGACTAACAAATTAAATACTTAGTGATGGCAAACGGAACCCTGAGAAAGATATATTTTAAGTTGGATATTTACTCGTAAGTTAATAAAATAATATTGAGTTATTCCTGTGTTTTTAAACATGACTAAACTAAATATTGATAAATAAATATTGTACCTATGTATTAGTCAAGTAGAAGTCGAACTAACGCTCCGAGGGCTCTGTACTACCACAACAATATTTATTATGGACATCAATTATGTAATACTAGCGGCTCACCCTCGCTCCGCTCGGGTTCGCTTCTAGAAAAACACTAATAGAGATCTATTAGTTCCACGGAAACCGTTCATTTTTCCGGGATGAAAAGTAACCTGTTGTTTGACCGGCAATATAAGGTATCATCATGCCAAATTTTACTAAATTAGGTGCATATTAAGCTGTTGTGTACTGCATAAGTTACTATAGTTATTTAACTATCCCACGGGAACTATTTAATTTTCCGAAATGAAAAGTATCTTACATGTTGACTGGGGATATAAGGTACGACCATGGAAAATTTCATTTAAATCGGTCCAATAGTTTCGGAGATTAGCCCGTACAAACAGACAGAGAAACAAAAAAAAATGAAAAAAAACTGGATTTGTTCTATTGTTCTTCTTAGGGGATGTAAGAAGATAACTGACTCGGTTTTTAACATTTTTTTTCTATGTACTGACATACGACCTCTACAGTTTTATTATATTTATAGATAGAATAAACAACGTATAATAAAACAGCACTATATAATAATGAAGATAGTTATAGCGAGTGTACCTTAGGAGATACACATATACTATTGAGAACCTTTCTATCGACCTTTTTAAGACTTACAATTTTCTTGTACAATGTTTTGATCTATCTCTTAAGGTTGAGCTAGTGTTAGCCATATAAATTTCTAAAGATAATTGGATAGAACCAGTTATTGTATTTTCCCGCGAATGGAATGAATAATTTGCCTGTCGTAAAAGGTATCCTAAATGATGTCCCGAGTACTAAGTTATCACTATACAAAATTTAGTTAAAATTGGTTCAGTACTTTTTGCGTGAAACGCGCACATCGATTTGACTAAGTTAGTTTTATTACAGGTATAGATAAGAATAGATATTGCTTAGGTGATATACATATACAATTCAGAACTTTCCTGTAGGACTTTTCAAGACCTACAATTTTTTAGTGTATTGTTTTGATGTATGTATGTCTTAAGGTTTAGCGAGCGGAAGGTTTCTAGGGAGGATTCGATAAAACCAGTAATTGTATCTTCCCGTGAGAAAGAAAGATTTTCTTGAAGTAAAAGGTATTCTAAACGCTGACTCGAGTAATAAGTTATCAGTTCACCAAATTTTGTTGAAATGGGTTCATTACTTTTCGCGTGAAACGCGCATACAAAAACAGACAAACAGACATAAGACAAACAGACTTTTTTTAATAACTACTGTTTGTATTCGCCAGTTCTTCTCAGGTCTGAGGCATCTTCTTTCCGAACTGGTAGTAGACTCATGACGTTCAGTAAGAAATTGTAATAATTTAACGATGAATAAAATATTTTGACTTGATTTGGGGTCTATGTTGTGTATATTATAATAATAATTCGCTACAAATAAACTAAAACATCTATCCCGCGGGAACCGTAAATTTTTCCGGGATAAAAAGTAACCTATTTTTTACTCTATGACCTATATTATTGTAAAGTTTCATCAAAATCCAATCAGTAGTTTTTTGTGTACTAAGGTGTATAAGTTACTATAGTTTTTTGACTGTCCCATGGGAACCCTTTAATTTTCCGGGATGAAAAGTAGCCGATTTGTTATTGTCACGTATGAACTATATTATTGTAAAGTTTTATTAAAATTGAATCAGTAGTTTTTGTGTACTAAGCTGTATAAGTTATTATAGTTTTTTAACTATCCCATGGGAACCGTTCAATTTTCCGGGATACAAAGTATCTAAGATGTTGTCCAGGGATTTAAAGTACTACCATGCAAAATTTCATTTAAATCGGTACAATAGATTCGGAGATTAGCCCGTACAAATAGACGAACAGACAAACAGACAGAGAAACAAAAAAATTGAAAAAAATCTGGATTTGTTCTATTTATCTTTTTACGTCCCCCTTACTCGGTTTTTAGCATTTTTTTGCTATGTACAGACATTCGACCTGTACTGTTTTATTATAGTATAGAAGATAATTTTACGTAATTATCTACAAAGAGATATTTAAAAAAAAATTGCGTAGGAATTATTATTAGCGTTTTGACTGAACCCCTAAGTAATGCATTCTAATCTTGAATTACATATCCTCATATAAGATTTTTATGCAATAAACCTAATATAGATAGGTATACAAAAGATAGACCACGTATACATAATATTACATACATAGTGCTAAATGGCTAAATTTGGTCTTAGATAATTTATTTAATAGTTATATTTATCCTATACAAAATATTCTCGATGACGATATTTTTTGCAAGTGTTCGTGCTGGTTTGTATTTTATAACGAATTTTCTTACTTCTATGTATGATTTGGTCGATTAGTGTAATTGATCTGGGTTTGATCCTACCTAAACTAGCCATTGATTAGTTGTGAGGTTAATGCTGATGGAATGGCCTCTATTCTATCGTAGAACGATTGGAACGTAGAGACTGGTTTGTGTAGCTCCTGGACATCAGGGACTCCCGGGAGGCCACACATGGTGCTTTTGCTGGTGTTTGCGCATATATTTTTTTAAAAATTTAGATTAGACACAACTGAGAGCGGATCTCGTTACGGTTTTGTCCAGAGGTGATAAGGCACACAGCGATTGTCGTTACGAAAACACCCGAATCTTCGATTACTCATATATATTTTTTTATATTTGAGATCTTGTAGCAACTGAGAATGGCTCTCGCTACGGTATTGCCCTGAGGTGATAAGGCACAGAACGATTCTCGCTACGGAAACACCCGAGTCTTCGATTACTCATATATTTTATTATATTTGAGATCTTGTAGCAAATGAGAGTGGCTCCCGCTACGGTATTGTCCCGATGTGATAAGATACAGAGTGATTCTCGCTACGGAAACACCCGAGTTTTCGATTACTCATATATTTTATTATATTTGAGATCTTGTAGCAACTGAGAGTGGCTCTCGCTACTGTATTGCCCCGAGGTGATAAGACACAGAGCGACTCTTGCTACGGAAACACACGAGTGTTTTTATATTTAAGATCTTATATACATACTAGCGGCTCACCCTCGCTTCGCTTGGGTTCGCCTCTAAAAAACACTAATAGAGATCAAGTAGTTCTCACGGGAACCGTTCATTTTTCCGGGATGAAAATAACCTGTTGTTTGACTTCCAATATAAGGTGTCAGAATGTTACATTTTCTTAAATTAGGTGCATAAGTTGTGTACTAAGTTGTATAAGATACTATAGCTTTTTAACTATCCCACGGGAAATCTTTAATTTTCTATGATGAAAAGTATGTAAGATGTTCACCGGGAATATAAGATATCACCATGCAAAATTTCATTTAAACCAGTCCAACAGTTTCGGAGATTAGCCCGTACAAACATACAAACAGACAAACTGATAAACAGACGTACAGGCAAATAGACAATTTTTTTAATAACTATTGTTTTGGGGTCTATATTGTGTACATAATACGTTACAAACAAACAAAAACAGATCTATCCCATGGAAACCGTTCATTTTTCTGGGATGAAAAATAACCTGTTGTTTGACCGGCAATATAAGGTATCAGCATGCCGAAATTTTACTAAATTAGGTGCACGGCAGTGCCCCCGCCAAGTCGAGCAAAATAAAGGGCACGGCAGTACCATCCTTTTCTCGAAGCGATTCAGAGCATTTTCCACCCCCCCCATAACTTCGTTTTAGATAAAGCTAGAAGCCTGAATTTTGAGTGACTAAGAGAACATAATATAACTAGATATATTTCCAAATTACATTCAATTTGAACTTGTAGTTTATGAACTGTTGCAGATCAAAATTCGTTAATATCGTCAGTCAGTCACTCACCGATCATCAAAATTCTAAGGTACTTCTAGCAGACATAGGAGCTTCAAATTTTGAAAACAATTAGTGTTTAGCCTATAACACAAGGAAAAACTCAAACATCACGCAATTTCAATTCTGTTTTCGAGATATACAAACTGCATAAGTAACTTCGTAATCATATATACAAATAGATATGCGATATATGGGATTACAAAGTTATTTTTGCAGTTCATACATATCATTTTTCGTCACTTAAACTATTCAAATAAGATAGCTGGGTAAATAGTGGATATGCTGTAAGTGTTAGCGATGACTAAAATGTTATTATCAATATTGTAAATAGTTTTAAGAATAATAGTTTTAAAAAATAATATATTTAATATATAAATTAAAACATACTCGTATCTATACTATAATAAAACAGTAGAGGTCGAATGTCTGTACATAGCAAAAAAATGCTTAAAACCGAGTCAGGGGGATGTAAGAAAACAAATAGAACAAATCCAGATTTTTTTCAACTTTTTTGTTTCTCTGTCTGTTTGTCTGTTTGTACGGGCTAATCTCCGAATCTATTGGACCGATTTAAATGAATTGCATGGTGGTACCTTATATCCCCGGGCAATATCTTAGATACTTTTTATCTCGGAAAATTAAATAGTTCCCGTGGGATAGTTAAAAAACTATAATAACTTATACAGCTTAGTACATAAAAACTACTGATTCGATTTTAATAAAACTTTACAATAATATAGTTAATAGATGTGTTGAAAAATTGGTTTATTTATTACTTGTTTATTAGTATAATTGTACAAGATATAGTGCAAACAATAGTCTTTACAGCCTTAAGATTCTTAGCGTTCACTAGCGAAAACGTTGCTATTCTAATTCCTTCTCACACGCTTCTTTCAACGGCCTCTTTCAACCACACGTTCCGGTAAACGCTTGAACATGCTCCCGGCCTTGGAAGGTCCTACTTCCAACAGTCTCCACGGTCTGTTGCTGAATCGAGTGGTAAGGGGCAGATCTTGGGAAAAGCTCGTCTCGTGATGGCTCCAGAAGCTGTGCGGATTGTTGCTACTCGAGAAATTCCATCTTTTCCGGGGAAGGTAGAAACAATGCGTCCCATACACCACTTTAGAGGAGGGCTGTTGTCATCCTTGATCAGCACAAAAGTTCCTTCCTTCAGTGTGTCACTAGATTTCGTCCACTTGGTCCTTACTTGTAGCTCCGATACATATTATTTTGATCGGGTCCAGAAGTGCTGCCGGACTTGCTCCACTCTTTGGTAATGTGTGAGTCGATGCGGTGCGATTTGCTTGTAATTTGAAAGAAAATGAGCTGGAGTGAGCGGAGAAAAATCATTTGGATCTGTTGACATGGGAGATAAGGGACGAGAGTTTAGAACGGCTTCCACCTTTTTTTTTAACGTTGGGAAATGCATTTACGCACGAGGTGTGGGACTCACCGGCAAAGCCAGTACTACCCACTAAAACTCAACAAATCCTTCCCCCGTCTTAATGGGGCGTCGCAGGATCGCTTACGCATTCAACTACGACGCCCCGACGGCAGGTCTGCCAAAGCAGACCACAACAACCACGGGGTTGCCCCAAGGTCCACTCTGCTATCAGAGAAGTACCAGTAAGAGGGCCACCTCCCACCGCCCACCGAAGTGGGCCACCTCCCTGTGCGTTTCTTGGCTTCGCGCCCGGCTGGGTTGCCGGGCACTACTGAGCCCCCCCCCACCACGACAAGTTGAACGCACGTTGGGGGGGAAAAACGGCTTCCACCTGTGCCAACACCGTGCTGAACTCTTCGAATGTAAAATTAGCGTTACCTAGAACCCGCCTAAGATGGTGTTTGCACGATTTCACCCTTGCTTCCGGTAAGGCACCAAAATGTGGGGAATATGGCGGAATGAAATTAAATTTAATATTATTGTTAATAGCATAATCCTTAATATTATCTGCGCAATTATGTAAAATTTTTGAAAACTCTGCCATTAAACCAGTGAAGTTTCTTCCGCTATCAGAAAATATTTCTGATGGTTTGCCGCGACGAGAGATAAATCGCTTTAACGCTAGTAAATATGCATCAGTAGATAAGTCACCCACTAAGTTAAGATGAATAGCTCGAGTTGCAAAACATATGAATAAACTAACGTAAGCTTTAGTTAACCTAGCACCTCTACCTTTCCGATTTGGTACAAACACTGGCCCGAAATAATCAACTCCACTAATGGCAAACGGGAAACTGACAGATAAACGTTTAGCTGGTAAGTTGCCTTTTAATGGAGTTAGAGTTTTACCGCGAAACCGAGTGCAAACGACACACTCATGTACGACTCTCTTTGCAAGATTCCTACCGCTGATAGGCCCAAGACTCTCGAATAGTAAATAATAATAACTGCGGTGCTGCACGCAGTTGCCGTATATGTTCGTAGCGAAATAATAGGTATGTGAAATGATGCTTAGATGATAAAAGGATAGGATGTTTTTTGTCAAAGTTAAATTCAGACACATTAGACAAACGCCCCCCTACTCTTATTAATTTATTATTATCTAAAAATACGTTTAAATTTTTTAAATTGCTCTTAATCCTATCCGCCTTCGCCGTGATATGCACCTCCTTTCGTTTCTGTTCAACATCCTTCATAACCTCAATTTTCCCTCTTACCTTCGTTCCCGGTTTAACTTTCTTCCCACTCCATCGCGTTCCAGGCGGCCCTGCATCTCATCGATGCTTGACATACCAAGAAGCAACACCAAGTTTTTCCAAAACTCATTCTCGGTTCAGGCTGCAGTGCTTTGGAACAGACTTCCCAAAGTCCTACAAGAGAGCCCTTCTAATGATGCATTTAAAATCAATATGAAAAATTATTTTCTAACTCATCATTGAAAAATGTGTACATTTCTGTTTTGTAATAATATAAGTATGTTTATGTATATATGTATGTTTATGTATATATGTATGTTTATGTATATATGTATGTTTATGTATATATGTATGTTTATGTATATGTGTATGTTTATGTATATATTGTATTTATTTTGTTTTACTTATGATTATTCTTATATATTTTCTTATCATTTCTCTGCACTTTCTCTTTCTGTCCCGCTACTTGACACTATTTCCCACATGCATGGGTTGACTGGAAGAGATCTCTTATAGAGATAAGTCCACCTTTGTCCACGTCATTTTTTATGTATTTTTTTTTATTACATGTTTAGTGCAATAAAGAATATAATTAATTAACTGTTTATTTTTAGATATAGCATCATATTCAAGGATCGATTCTCGTTGTAATAATAAAGCAAGTGTACTCACAGCCTCTCGCAGCTCATCCACACTCAAAGCACCCGATCGTTTTAAGTTTGTTTTATGGCTATTATGTAGAAAACGTTTAATATACGCCATGGTGCGTTGAAGGCGGTTAAACTGAGAGAACCTGGAAAATGGAAAAAGAGACTGACTAGTACAATCATTAGAATTGTCATTCCTTACATGTAAACTTTTAACCTCCGGGAGATTAATGATGTTATTTTCCGTATTATTTGAATGTAATTCAAAATTAGGATCTTGTAAAAATGTTGGACCATCCCACCATAACTTTGAGTCTTTTAACGTTTGTAAATTAATACCCTTTGAAACTAAATCAGCAGGGTTATCGTGGCTGACGTGCTTCCATAAATAATCCTGCGTCAATTCTTGTATATCAACTACCCTGTTGTATAAGTTTCTATACGATAAGTTAGGACTGGCATAGTATAAATGCGCGTTCCATTATATTCAAAATTTAAATGTTTAAAATTTAAATGTTTGCACATATATTTTTAATAGATGGCATTGGGGGTAATCTAAAACGCGCTATCGTTTGGTTAAGATGAAATGTATATATGGTATCGAACAAAATAAATTTTTAACCACAATCCAATCACTGGAGTTTTATTATAAACCCAGAGGGAACCCTACTCCCAAGGACAACATTGGATTGTACATTTGGTCCTTCGAGCCGGATTAGCGAATCGTTGGAAGACTCTACGCCATCACATCACTTTGGCCGGATCGCTTGTGCGAGCTGGTCGAACTTCAGCAGCAGCCAAGTTGCAAGGGTGCAACTCACCACTGCAGACGGTGCCTGGAGAAGGCGCCTGTCAGGAGAGGACAATTGTTGGCGCAAGGCAAGGCGCGGAGCACTAGACGCGTCACGTGGGACAGTCAGTGCAGTATACAGTCCATTGAGGTGATCAACAAGAAACTGTAAGTGTTTCAAAGTTATAAGTAGTGGAAAAATAATCTAACAAAATTGAACTTTAAGTCAATTGGTGATTTAACTCTAACGAATTCTCTATGAAGAAACTATATTAGTGAAATTGAACTTTATTGCTAGGAGTGATTTAACTTAGTAAATATTACTAGTGAAGAAATTTGGACTTAGAACATTTTCGTAGTTTTAACATTTAGTGTAATTTAGAATAAGAGCTAAATTAAATTATAAAAAAAAGACTTGTAAAATTTGAAACTTTGTACTTGAGGTGAAATATTAGAAATTCAATTATAATGGATTGTTTAATTAAAGTTCAAATAAATTTATATGATCGTATGCAAAAAGCGCGGATAAATTACAAAAAGTCTCCTAAGGATCGCATAACTGTTCAGTATGTAGAGATCCGAATGGAAACTCTAAACCAATTATGGTCTCAGTTTAGTGATAACCATAATCATATAATTAAGTTATCTCAAGGTTTTGACAATAACTATTTTAAAGAGGATATAATAGGAAGTGTGGAAGAATTGTATATCGATCATATGACTGAATTGAAACAAACACTTGTCTCATTTGATCGTTCAAGTAATGATAATTCAGTTACAATTATAAATAATGCTAATTCATCTAACATTAAATTACCCCGTATAGTTATTCCAACATTCAATGGTCAATATGCTGAATGGACCACTTTTAGGGATTTATTTGTATCGCTTGTACACACTAATAAAGAACTAGACAATGTACAAAAGATGCATTATCTAAAAGGTTATTTATCTGGTGAGGCCAAACAGCTGCTCAGACAGATACCTATAGCAGATTCAAATTATGAAAGGTGTTGGTCATTACTTAATTCTAGATATAATAATAAAAGATATTTGTCACATTTTATTTTGAAACGTTTATTAAGTCAAAGAAATATTACATCAGAGTCAGCTAATTGTTTAAAAAATCTTATTGATACAACTAATGATTGTTTAAGTTCATTAACCAATTTAGGTATAAATGTAAGCACTTGGGATATTATTATTATTCATATACTTACCTTAAAGCTCGATTCGGAGTCCAGGAAACAGTGGGAATTTTCTGTAACAAATAATAATTCATCTGAAGAACTACCAACCTTTAACCAATTTTCTGAATTCCTTACAAATCGTTATCGAGCCTTAGAGTTCTTGGACACCAAATCAGCTACTGTAACCAAAGATTCTCAATATAATAATAATGTAAATAAATTTAGAACTTTTGTAGCTTCAGCTAATAAGATTCAATGTGCATTTTGTTCTGAGGATCATAGGATTATACATTGTAAGCGTTTTTCTAATGAAACTGTAGACGCTCGACGCAATTTTGTCCAAACCCATAACATATGTTTCAATTGCTTAGGGAATAATCATTCTGCCAAATCCTGCCAAAGTTCAAACAAATGCCGTATTTGCAACCGTCAGCATCACTCGCTATTACATCCACCAAGTTCAGGTATTTCTGGAGCCAACGCTGAAACAACTAAAAATAATAATGGTAACATTGGTTCATCAAGTTCAGAATCAAACAACGAGATGGAGTCAACTCCTTTAGCAACGTTCTTTTCGACAGGACTAGTTCGTAATCAGGTGTTGCTAGCCACTGCGTTAGTCAAGGCCGCGTCGAAAACGGGAGAACATTATATAATTCGAGCGTTGTTAGATCAGGGGTCACAGACGTCATTCGTAACTGAGGCGACAGTCCAATATCTGGGACTAAAGAAAATTCCTATAAGGGAACAAGTTTCAGTTTTAGGGGGTAATAGTAATGTGTCACCAAAAGCTATGGTCTTTATTCAACTTAAATCAATGATTGATCCAAATTATAATCTCACAGTAAAGGCTTATGTTTTGAAAACAATCACTAGTTTTCTTCCAGCCAAGAGAATAACTGCTTTGGAATGGCTTGAAGCTCTTGAAATAGAATTAGCAGATCCGAATTATCACACTCCAAACAAAATAGACGTTTTGTTAGGTGCTGAAGTTTATGACAAGATAATTCAGGAGGGTATTAAAAAGGGACCTCAAGGTTCACCGGTAGTCCAGAACACATCGTTTGGATGGATTATCTCGGGTGAAGTAACTACAACAACCAGGGAGGAAAACCATACGGAGTTTAATACTTTTCACTGTCGAACTGACGACAACGACATGCTAAAACAATTTTGGGAACTCGAATCTGACCTGGAACTAACAAAGCAACAAAGAATGACACATGAAGAACAAGTTTGCGAAGAACTATTTGCTCGTACTACTGAAAGAGATGAAGACGGTAGATATATAGTTCGCTTACCTTTCAGGACGGAAAACCCAGATTGCATGTTCAGTTCTTCTAAGGAAGTAGCTGAAAAAAGATGGAATACATTAAAATTAAAGCTAAAAAGAAATCTAGAATTCAGTAATAAATATGAAGCAGTAATGGAAGAATATCTACAGTTAGGTCATATGGAAAAGGTACCAGAATCAGAAGTAAATAAGCCAAATACAGTATACTTACCTCATCATGCTGTGATACGAGAAGACAAGGACACTACAAAGTTAAGGGTAGTTTTCGATGCTTCTGCAAAAGGAAAGAATGGAGTTTCATTAAATGATTGTTTGTTAGTTGGTCCGCGTCTGCAATCAGATCTACGTCATATCATGATTCGTTGGAGGCAGCATCCTATTTGCTTAGTAGCAGATATCGAGAAAATGTACCGGCAAATAAAAGTCGCAAATCAAGATACTGACTTCCAGCGTATTCTGTGGAAAGATAGTGCTGGTAATGATAAACACTTCAGACTGCTCACTGTTACTTTTGGGACTGCTTCAGCTCCATATCTTGCGGTTAAGGCTCTTCAGCAAGTTGCAATCGATGAAGGCAATTATTATCCGTTAGCAGCTCAAGTAACAATGAATGATTTCTATGTAGATGATTTAATAACTGGATGTGAATCTGTGGAAAAGGGACTTAAAATATACAATGAAATGAATTCTATGTTAAGCAAAGGTGGTTTCAAATTACGAAAATGGTCAAGCAATAGTAATGTTCTACTAGAAAAGATAAAAAAGGAAAATGAGGATGAAGAAATAGCAGAAGAATTGCAGCTAAAATTAGACAATATCATGAAAATACTAGGACTTACCTGGGACCGCACCAGTGACTCCTTTGGGTACTCGGTAAATCTTCCAGCGTTGCAGCAACCTGTGACAAAAAGAAAAATATTAGCGGATGTTTCTCGTTTATATGATCCATTGGGTTGGTTGGCACCAAGCATCGTAATAGCAAAAATAATGATACAAAAGCTATGGCTAGCTGGTTTAGCTTGGGATGAGGAAGTACCTACAAATTTATTAAATGAATGGATTACTTACCGGAAAGGATTGCAAAATTCAGCAGACTGTCCTTCCAGAGGTCTGTATCCTGCGGAATTGACCACACTTCAATTGATTGGTCACACCTACATCCAACGAATGCTGCAGGAGTTTTGGCGAAAATGGTCTCAGGAATACCTGACTAAATTCCTTCAAAGATATAAGTGGACTACACAATCGTCACAGCCTTCCATTGGTGACATTGTAGTTGTAAAGGAAGATGGTTTACCACCTTGCAAATGGGTATACGGAAAGATTATTGATACTCATCCGGGTTTGGATAGAATTGTTAGAGTAGTCACAATTAAAACAAACAAAAATGTTATGTTAAAACGACCAACATCTAAACTATGTATTCTTCCAATTACAAAATAAATGTAGCTTTTTCTCTCAAAGCATTCATGGTGAGCAATGCTTTATAAGGACAAAATGTCCTTATGGTGGGCGGTATGTATAAGTTTCTATACGATAAGTTAGGACTGGCATAGTATAAAAGCGCGTTCCATTATATTCAAAATTTAAATGTTTAAAATTTAAATGTTTGCACATATATTTTTAATAGATGGCATTGGGGGTAATCTAAAACGCGCTATCGTTTGGTTAAGATGAAATGTATATATGGTATCGAACAAAATAAATTTTTAACCACAATCCAATCACTGGAGTTTTATTATAAACCCAGAGGGAACCCTACTCCCAAGGACAACATTGGATTGTACACCTGTTCTGTATATACGTTTTAAGTTGACAAGGTGCCATACGCAACCATCCTAATACTATAGTTGAGTCGCTCCATAGACAAACATCATCAAATCGACAGCGAAGCAATTCAACAGCGAAGCAATTCAACTATTTTTACACACAGCCTAGCTCCTGTCAAAGCACCACACAGCTCAAGCCTAGGGACAGTTAATATCTTTAAGGGAACTACCTTACCTTTCGCGCATAGTAATTTCACTACAACCTTATCTTGCGTAAAAGAACGAATGTATGCACATGCTCCGTAGGCCTTTTGAGAAGCGTCAGTAAAAATGTGAAGTTCTAAGCGTGTGTGATGTTTTGCAAAACTGTGACGTGGTATTCGCAAATTGCTAAGCTTATCAAGATCACCTATAAATTGAATAAATTTATTTATTACTTCTTGAGGTAATTTTGTATCCCAATAAATCTTTAATAGCCATAATTTTTGTAATAATACTTTAATTGATATTATAGTTGCGCTGAGCAAGCCAAGCGGGTCTAAAATCTGCGATATGATGGATAAAATTGCACGCTTTGTTATATTACTAGGGACTTGAACCTTAGTTTGAAAATTAAGTTGATCAAATTGACTAAGCCAGCTTAGTCCTAGAGTTTTTGATTGCGTTTGTTCACCTAAAGAAAGTTTTTTTAATGTGTGTGACCCCGATAATGCATGATCATGGTCAAAATTGAATATCCACTTTCGAAGTGGAAAGCAGCTTTTGGCTAAAACCCTGGTTGTTTTCTCGCATAAACTTGATAATTCATTTTTATCATTCCCTCTTGTAATCATATCGTCAACATAAAAATCTTGCGTTATAACTCGCTTAACGTCAACGTTATCGCACTCTATAGCTAGTTGTTGTAAACACCTAACGCTTAAAAAAGGCGCAGACGCTGTTCCGTATGTAACCGTGTTTAACCTATAAATCTCGACAGGGGCTGCAGGATCATTGCGCCATGGAACAAGCTGGAGGTCGCGTTGATTTTCACAAATTAAAACCTGCCTATACATCTTTTCGATGTCGGCGCATGCTATATACTTTTTTACTATTACTATTTATACTGCTATATGCTTTTTTTTTCGGTGGGTAGGTGCTAACTATTAACACATGTTTTTGAGTGCTCTATATTTTATAGTTTTTAAAAATCAAATATAAGAGATATATAGTGATATGTGTTAGTAAATAAACCTTAAACCTACCAGCTTTATATTCCTCTATAATATACAGACACTTGTGCACTTATAAGCAGAAATTATAAATAAAACATTAACACAACTTCAGTGTATAGTTAAAATAAAAAATAAAAACAAAATGGAGTCCATAATGCACACAATTGCTGAGCTTAGTGAACACTTCAACTCAAAAATGGCAGAGTTTCAAAAACAACTTCAAACTTCTTCGGCATCAGCAACAAGCCCAGCTTCTACTATTGCTACCCAATTTAGCACTTTTAGAAGTTTCGTTTTGACTGCATTAGAGGGCCTCCAGAAGCAGCTTGATGTTCTATCTAGAAAACAAGATGAATTTGAAATGAGATCCCGGAAGAAAATTCTACTAATCCATGGTGTTCAAGAAAGTAAGAATGAAAAAATGTCCCAAGTTGTTACCAAAATAATTTCTGAGAATTTAGATATCCCTCTCAAAGAGGATGACATTAGTCATTGTCACCGCTTAGGGCATTCTAGATCTGATAAACCTAGAGCCGTCCTTGTTAAGTTCAAAGATTTTTCTCTTCGGAACAAAATTTGGTATTCCAAGTCAGGCCTCAAGAATTCTGGGATAACCCTGTCAGAGTTTCTCACCAAGGAACGGCAAAGCACATTCGTGGCAGCCCGACAACGTTTGGGAGTCTCAAAGTGCTGGACAAAAGATGGATACGTGGTGGTTGTGGGGGCTGACGGTTCGCAAAGCCGCATTCTCACGGTGGGTGAACTTAACGCCATCTCGCCTTTGCCCCATGACGCGCCATTGTCGACCTCCAGCGCTCCTCCCGTTTCTTCTGGCCCCAGCAACACAGGCAAAGTCTCCAACATTAGGACAAAACGAGCTATCAAAAAGTAATGCAATTCACTTTGAATATTTACTTTAACTTTGCATGACTAATTTATGATCATTCACTATTACCATATGGCCTTACTTCTATATTTATTTACGTAGTTTTAAAGTATATAAATGGATATTTAAGTCTTTTATAATACGTATTTTAGTCGGTAGATTCACGCTCGTAATTTGTTTACTTTTATAACTTCGTAGTTTGTACCTACCTTTTATCAATTTTTCTTTTTAGCTGTCAAATTGTCATCTGTCATATGTCAATGCTTACTCTTCATGTTGTTTTTGTATCTGTGTGATTGGATTATCTCGTTTGCTTTATAATCTTTATTACTATTTTTGACCCCTTTAGTCTGTATTGTTAATTTTTTCTTACTTCTGCTGGTGGGTGAAAGGATTAAGGACTCTTATATATCTTTTTTTTTTAACTCTTTATTTTGTTTTATATACCATATTTATTTATTTTTTTCAACCGACTTCAAAAAGGAGAAGGTTCTCAATTCGACTGTATGTTTTTTTTTTATGTTTGTTACCTCAGAACTCCGTCATTTAATAACCGATTTGGACAATTTTTGTTTCGTTTGAAAGGGTATACTTCCAGATTGGTCCCATTTAAATTTCAAAAAAAAAATACCACCCCTAAGGATGGAAAAACAACTAATGATGAATTTGACCTACTTCTAATTGTCATATTGACTTGAAACTTTGCAAGTATTTCTATTTCCGTTGATAGTACAGTGGTTCGGTATTGTTGACCTGATCTGATGGTAAGGCCAGAAGGATAGGTGGAACTCTTCAACGGCTAATAGTAGATACTTTGAGTTTGGGCTTATTTTGTTTGATTTGACAAGCCTAACACGTTAGAATCCTTACTTTGCTACTACTGTCTACACTAAAAAGGGAAAAATAAAAACTTTTTAACAAAAAAATAAAAACCGACTTCAACTTGGCTAAGTTTACTTGGCTAAGTAATTAAAGCCTACCTATTAAATACATACCTAATCAAATATTTTCGAAATCGGTGCCAGCCCATACAAAGCAAAGCACACCGACTTCGAAAATATTTGATTAGGTATGTATAGTAAATGAAAACTACCAATCAGTTATTTTTTACTTTTTAGTGCTTTTGTTTGAAGTCGGTTTTTATTTTTATCTATTACTATATATTATTCTATATTATTATTAATATTATATTATTTATTTATACATTATTCTTATTTTATCTGATTTATATATTAATTGTTTATCTAATTATTTAAATATAATGTTTTTAAATGATAGTTCAGATGACGACATTAGCTTCCACTCAGCATCATCATCAAACGACAGTTACCATAGTTCTTCGATTCCACTCTCTTCCCTTCTTGATTCCACTTTCTCTCCCCTTCCTAAGAATTTTAACGTTGTGCATATTAATGCTCAAAGCATTCTTTCCCATTATCCTGACCTTGTAGCCTCTTTCACTAATAAAAATATACACGTAATCCTTATATCTGAAACATTTCTCAAACCGTGTTTACCCTCAGTCTCCTTTGCCTTACCTGATTTCCACTTAGTTCGTAATGATCGCACTGGCAAGGGTGGTGGGGGAGTTGCTATTTACATTCGGAATCATATACCTTTCACTATACTTCATAAGTCCGATTCTCAATACTCTGAAACTTCTGAGCATATTTTAATTGAGGTATTATTTGGTTCTGTGAAATTGTTGCTGGGTGTTTTTTACAGCCCATCCTTATTAATCGATTATTTTGCAATCTTTGAAAATCTTTTAGAACAATTTTTACCTTCTGTTGACCACACCATAATTATGGGTGATTTTAATACATGTGTAATCAAAAATGATTCTCGAGCTAAACGTCTCCTAAACATAGTCAACAGTGCCAATCTTCAGTTGTTGAATACAAAACCTCACTTTTTTCCTAATTGTACCCCGTCCCTTCTAGATCTCATGTTCGTCTCCTCTCCTGATTTTGTTATATCCCATGGACAATTTCCAGCTGACTCCTTCTCATACCATGACCTAGTATATTTATCTTATAAAATCCGTCCTCCTAAATTAAAACCTACGGTCGTGATGCGGCGTAGCTTTAAAAATTTCGACAACAATAAATTTTTGAATGATCTGAATGATACTGATTGGCAATCGATTTTTGACGCTGGAAATATTAATGACAAATTGGAAATTTTTAACTCAATTTTGACGAACCTCTTTGACAAACATGCTCCTTTCCGCCCTATTAAATTAAAGCATCTTCCTGCACCATGGCTTACAGAAGACATTAAAATTTTAATGGCTAAACGTAACGCAGCCTAATCTAAATATAAATTAAAACCTACAGAAGAGAATCTGCTGAAGTATAAACGACTCCGCAACCGATGCAATAAAGTATGTAGAGACGCTCAACGGAATTACATCCATACTGCAATAGATAATGGTAATCCTGCCAAAACCTGGAAGCTCTTAGAATCTTTTGGTATTGGTCGCAGATCTAGAAGCGTCTCTTACAATACACTTGATCTCGATGCTCTGAACAGATTTTTTGCCTCTGTCACTCCTATGGATAATAATGTAAGACTTCGCACACTGAGCCAACTCCATTCAACACCACGTCCTAATCATCCCATGTTCAATTTTACCCCTGTTAGCACTTTCGAGGTTAAGAAACACATCCTAGCAATTAAATCTGATGCTACTGGCAGTGATGGTATAAATCGCAAAATGATCCTCTTACTTCTTGATACCATTACTCCTGTACTTACCCATATTTTTAACTTCTCTCTTTCCTCCAATGAATTTCCCTCTACCTGGCAAACTGCTCGCATTATCCCTATTCCTAAGACGAAAAATCCCTCTTACTTCTCCCACTACTGTCCAATTTCCATTCTCCCATTTTTGTCGAAAGCTTTAGAACGAATTGTGTTTAACCAACTCAGTGGCTATTTAGACCAGCACAACATACTTTCTCCGTACCAATCTGGTTTTCGAAAAGGTCATAGCACTGTGACAGCCTTACTCAAAGTATCCGACGATATACGATTTAATATGAGCGAGAAACTAATCAGCGTTGTAGCCCTGCTTGATTTCAGTAATGCTTTCAACACAGTTGACTTTAAACTCCTGTTAGCTGTGCTTGAATCCATTAATG